ATTGAACATGATCGATGTACTTTATTCACTGGTGGGTGTAAATCAACGATTTGATCGACTAGCACTTGATCCTCTCTATATTCATCATCTGGATTTAATGGTTGAATCAATGCTTACGAATAACTTTTCAGTAGGCAAACAAGTTCTTGATAGAATTTGTGAAGAAATTTTGCCTCGAATTAATAATAAAATAAACAAACTCATTGTTGATCGATATTCTATGGAACGTGTACTTCGTGTTGTTATCTATCCTCAACTTTATTCATTAGCATTTGCCAATTTTCAACAAGTTACACTTTTACCATATTGAACAGGTGTATTGTTTTTTAACTTGCACTGATTTGATCAACAAAACACTTCAGTACATTGAAAGTGATACAAAACTTTGTTATCTTCTCACTGATCAAATCACACATCTTAATATTCATATCATTGATGATATAACAACAGAACGAGATAATGAAAATGAATCAAATTTATTTCCATTAATATTATCTATGGGTAAACATCTAACTGATTTGACTTTTAGTCAATGGTTGTGTCATCAAAAGTCACCAATTTCAATATTTCATATGCCATCAACAAGTTGTATTTCTTCAACGCTCACTAAATTGAATATTGATGTCAATACTTGTGATGATTGTCTTTATCTTCTTGATAGACGTCTTCATTCTTTATCTACATTAATATTCTTAAAATTACCGTTCCATTATCCAATATTGATAACACAATAAGAATACATTTAATTATTCGATACGAATAAACATTAAATCAGAAATGCATCGTTTAATTCTTTTTTTTTCTTTGTAAAAACAACTTTCCAAACTCAAATGTTTCGCATTAATTTCACATCCTCGAACATATTTCTATGACAGTCGAGTTGTGCCATTACTATGTCGAATGCCAAATCTTGAAGAATTAACATTATGTCTATCGATAATACGAACTGAATCGACTTATATTGACGGTATTCATTTATATGATGAAATTCTTATTCATATGCCACAATTAAACAAATTTGTTTTTAGTATCAACACTCTTGTGTTCAACATAGTTTTATCAAAAGAGGATATCAACAAATTGGTTCATATACTCATGACAAATCAACAGAAAAAGGAAGCATATGTCATGTCTATTCGCTTCTATATGAATTTCATAATTTTTTCAATAAGACATCTCATTTTCAAGGTGGTATGTTTGATAATGACTGATCTAGAAGATCCTTTTGAATATGGACTTTTTCAAATCATCTCTCATTCTTTTCCTTGTCTTCGAAAACTAGCTGCATGTAATTATCAACCACAAACAAGGAAGCAATATTCATCTCCAATCATCACCATTCCTCATCTTGTCATTCTTGATCTTCGATGGGTAAATAATGATTATGCTGCTCATTTTCTCTATTACACAAAAATTCATCTGTCTTCTTTGTTGGAACTTACAATTACATATGAATCATTGGCAATGGCAACAGATAATTTTACTAATGATGCGACACGTCTCACTCATGCTCGTTTGCAATCTCTTGTTATATATATGATTCGTATATTCGTCCAGAAAATTTTCATACATATTCTCCTTCATGTAAAATATAATTTGTTTTAAAAATTGTACCAATAAAAAAATATTTGAATAAAATTGGTTATTTGTTTTGTTTTATGATGACTTGTATTGACTACAGAAATGAGCAAGTATTATTCTAAATCATAAGAATATGGTTGATTAATTTCATTAGAGATATAGACTATAGATCATTTGTATGTCGATTAGGTATTCAAGATAGTCATCTACATTTTCCTAATATTGCTCAAGTAACAAATTCGACTGATGAAAAGAATGATCATGATAGTACGAAAATATTCAAATGTTTATTTTTTTTGACAGCTGGCTCATACAAGAACAGAATGAAAGACTATTAAAGAATACGTTTAGTTTGTTAGTTGTTGTCCATCATTGACACGATTTATCTTTTTGTTTTTTTCTATCATTTCTGCTTCTAAAGTATTTGTTGTTAAACCACAATAATTTTGTTTTGCTATTTCAGATTTCATTTGTCCTTCTTTTTCTTTAATTTTATCGGAAGACTCTTCCATTTCATTTGCTTTCTCTGTTGTTTTAATAGAATTGATTGTTGATATCAAATTGTTCGAAATCAGTTAAAGCAAGGCCAAGTACCTAATTCACAGAAAAAGAATTAGATATAATAACAAATACAGAATCAAATACTTTTACTTCTGTTTCTAACGAAACGTTAATTTTTTCACTAGTACAATTTAGATGAACATTTTCGTTTATTCTTTGAAGGCTATCATATAGAAAATAAACAAAATATCAGTTAAAAATAAAATTCAATGTTTTTTAGCGTTTATTTTCAATTTCCTATCGACGAACAGCTTCACGAAGTTTATTACGTTCATCTTTAACTGTATCATAATCAGTTTGTTGAAGAACTTTGTCAGATAATTCTCGATCTAGGTGTGGGTGTGGTGGGTGGGTGAATGTAGGTGTGAGTGTGAATGAACAGAAGATCAACACCTACACCCACACCTTACTGAGATAGAAAGAAAACAGTTTTTTCTTTATTCAAATGACATCACATTCTGAGAACGGAAAAATTGATGTTGAATAACTCGAATTTTTTCTTTTCTCGCTCACGTTTTGTGTCATAAAATTACCTTGGAGGTTAAAGTAATGAAGCAAAAAAAAAATGGCATTTTTTCTCATTAAAATGGAAATAACCAGTAGGAAACAACATTTTTGATTGCTTTCAGGTGCGCTCAGAGTTGCATTTGGATTTCTCACTCTCGTCGATGTTTTACATGTCCTTCACTATCTTATATCTAAATCTGTTACTAAAGTCTTAGCTCTCGATCGATGGCTGAGCATGACTTCGATATTATGTATCAACAGCATTTATTCGTTAATTGTCGAGCGAAACATTTTATGTTGATTCTATCGAACGATGGATGATACTTCACTACAAATCAGTCTCCTTCATCTGAAACAAGCAGTTCGAATTAGTTTGCCTTGATAATGATTAGCAGTAGTTGTACGATCACATTGATAGGTTAAGCTGGTTGATGTTTTCCGTAGTTGACATGATTTATATTGCACTGTTTTCTTTGATCTTCGTTAACTATTCCTAAGACGACCTGCAAACGATCACGTTAAGTGGATTATCTCCAGACTAATTCATTTAACTTCACTCAATGAAGCTAATGCATACATTAGAAACATAATTATTTTTATTTTTATTCATAAATGCTGGAATTAGCTTATTTGAGATTAGGGTGAGATAATACCTCTTTTTTTGTCTTTTAGCCGATAAGTGAGATCAATAATAGATAATTATACGTTACAAAATGAAATTCTCATGAATCCTCCGCACAACAGAAATATGAATAACGAGAAATTCGATTTGCTTTTTGCAGAAATGTATTAATACAAAAGATGTGCTAATGATCATCGAAGTAAAACAATGCCTTTGAGCCAAAACGATTGGATATTTGTGGTTGTCTATCTTGATCTTGATCCTTCGAAAAGAAAACCGTTCAATATTCGATTGAGTAATTTTGATAATGAGATTATCGTGGTTGATTTTAGTCATAGATATATTGAACGATGTCAAATATATCTTAAGCAACAAACTGATAAAATGAAACAAGTTTTTCTCTTTATCAATAATCGGCTTGCTACATTTGACTTTATTTCGTCCGTACATGATTTACAACAATTACATTTGATCTGGGTAATTCACACTGATTCGAATTACGACGTTCATACACAGTTTCTAGAAAAAATGAACAATAAAAACAAATGGAAAGTAAAATTCAACAAGGTAACCGAACATCTCACCTTATATACATAAATAAATGAATACATTTAGCTCATCGAAATCCACTCGGAATGGGAAACACTATTTCAACGAACAATGATTCATGATTCATGGTCCAAAAATTCCTTAGAGTGTGATGAACATATCGAACAATCAACCTGAAACAACATCCGAACAGTATCATCCCAACTTTGAACGAACATATACATTACCGATGATAATTGATTTATTTCTGAATATGGAAAATGTGGACAGTGAATTATTAAAACACGATTGGATTCAAAGATGCAAAACATTATACAATGGTATTAAAGAAAAGATGAAAACTTTATTAGAATTTGAAGAAACGTATGAACTAAAAGAATCTCTTCGATGGTATACCAGATCTTCGTTTATATTTTCTCTATTTAACAAAATATGTCGACAACAAAATATTGAGTGGCTTATTTTGTATCGTTTTTTTCTGGTCGATTTATACAGACAACTTGAACAAGAACAATCAAATAATCAATACATTTCCACAACGACATATTATCGAGGTAAATGTATGTCAGATGATGAATTGAAATCTTTACAAGAATCATATAATCTAAATCGAAATTCATTGACGAATACATGTGATAATTTTTATATTATTGCTAATACCTTTTTCTCGACAACGAGTAATCGCCAAACAGCTCTTGCAGGTTTTTCAGGTCAAATAACGAAAATGATCAGAAAAAACTTATACATTGCTATAGAAGATGACTTTTCTAGTGACAATAGTTATTATTTCGAAATGCAAAGTGAATATGGTTATCAATCCGTGCTTTTCGAAATTCAAGTAGATCCGGATTCAACATATCCTTATGCAAATATATCTCACATGAGCGAATTGCCATGGGAAGATGAAACATTATTTGCAATTGACTGTATATTTCAAATAATAAATATTGAATACAGCGAACAAGGTTATGCTTTTATAATTAAAATACGATTGATTAATAAGATAGAAAAACACAATAATAACAAACATATGTCATCGTTGAGTCTTCAAATTCTAAAAACTGGATTGTTAATAAATAATTCGCTTCATGATGTAACACGTGGAAAAACTTTTTTCAAACATTTATCGATCAATTTTCATTGTCAAATATAAGTCTTATCGTATCATGTTATATTGTACTCGGTTATCTATCGTACATTGAAAATGATATCAACTCGGCATTAAAGTACTATCAAGATGCTCTAAAACATTTAAAAAATGATCCAGTTATTCTCGCAACTTGCTATAACTTCATAGGTTTACTTTACGAGAAATCATATGGAGATGTTTCAACAGCATTAAAATATTATAACAATACTTATGAATTAAAAACTTAAATTCCATTAGATACGTTTTCGAGTTATCTTTCTTTCCAAAATATAACAATTGTAAATATAGCACGAGTTTATTGCAAACAAAATCAGATATCTTTGGCTTGCCGATACTACGGACAATTATTAACATTTGATAATTCTCAAAATTTTAGTCAGTATGACAACCCGTGCGCGAGCATACTCGAATTTGTGAGATGTAACAATTTCAATAATGTATCATTTGAACGATTCATGCAAATGAAAGCATTTGTTGATTACAGTGCTAAATATTTACCTAAGAATTATATGGAAATTATTCATCATTATATTAACATTGCCAATTGTTAATATACTGAATTGCAAATTGATTGTTTTTATAAATTACTCGAAATATGGGAAAAGTGCGGACTTGAAAATATGGATTCGGAACGTTTTAACAAGGAGATAATTGATATACGTATTCGAATTGCAGACACATATTATTGTGAAACACGATCTGAAAGGAGTGTTGAAGTATTTAGGGGTAGAAATTTGCAACCACTCCCCCCTCCCCGCCCACAGACTGTGACAAACAAAATCCATACCCATCACAGACCATGACAGAGAACCCTGGTACCCATCGCAGACCGTGACAGAGAATCCCGGGTACCCACCACAGACCGTGACAGAGAATCCCGGGTACCCATCACAGACCGTGACAGAGAATCCTGGTACCCATCATAGATCGTGACAGAGAAACCGTAGTTGTAAAGCATCAGATAAACGATTAGCTACAAATGTGTCGCAAAGAAACGGAACAAAAGGATTTCCATTTAATTAGTAACAATAGATCCATTGTGTTTCACATTTTTAATCCCACAAGGGATTGCGCTAAGAGCTTTTTAGAAAAGAATGAATACGTTCATTCAATTAATTATTTAATAAAAGCAATCAGACTATATGATTATTTCGACAACGTGTCCATATGGGATTTTATTAGACTGCAATATTTGCATAAACGTATTGGTTATTTATATGGTGTGAACGGCTATATAGTGCTTCAACAGATATGGTATGAAAAATTATTTGTTTTTTCAGCATCCTTTGACAACTTTTACTCTTCAATTGAAAGAGAACGTTATAAATTTGAGAACGAACAGATGTTTATAAGAGTATGTGGTGCAAAATATAAGCATGATTTAATATGGGGTATTTATGAATTTGTCGCAGATGAAAATTACTCACGGAAACGTGAAGAAATTATCCATGGAATTCATTTAATGAATACTGGCAATTATAAAAGTGCAGTTCAGTGATTTAAACAGGATCAAAAATATAACAATCGAAATGCACCAATCCTTTGGTGGTAATCAGTGTAGACGGTAGAAGGGTGTGGGGTGTGGGTGGGTGTGGGTGTGGGCGGGTGTGGATGTGGGTGGGTGTGGGGTGTGGGTGTGGGTGCGAGTAGGGTAGGGTGTGGGTGTGGGTGGGTGTGAATGGGTATGGGGTGGGGTGGGTGTGGGGTGGGTGTGGGTGTGGATCTTCTCCTCACTACGCCCACACCCACAAACCCACACCGACATACACACCCAAACCCACACCCCACACCGATACTCACACCCCACCCACACCCACACCCACACCCCACACCACCCACACCTCACACCCACACTCCACACCCACCCACACCCACACCCTTCTTTTAATGATATAATTGTGAATATGTACTAATATCAATTCTTCTTTTTTTTTAAATATTTAGCCTATTACCCCATCGTGCATCATCAAGAGATGTTCATCGTCATGTTAATACTGCTCCGGTTCGTCTTCGTCGTGCTCAAAATGATGACCATGGAAGACATGAATATGGTCATGTTGCTATAGCAACAATACTTTATATGAAAGATTTAGCTTCAATATTTGACAATGATTGTGTTTTTTATTTATCTCAAGATGATAGGTGTAAAGTTTCATTAGGTATATTTGCGGCTAAAATTCAAGCATCAATGTTAATGCATATGAATTACCGAATACGTTTACCAGGTCAAGTTTGGATAGTTGTACCTCGACATCAATTAATACCAAATGTATATGCAGCATGTCTTTTATCTGAAGATTGAGATTTAGATTATTCAGGTCCAACATATATAGCCATACATTCAGCTAAACATGATCTATGAACTGCTGATTCTTATGGATTAGATTTTGATCGTCTTGTTAGTTTAAAAGAATTTGAAAATGTAGCACGTGATGGAACTGGACAAGTTAAACCAATTGTTATTATTATTATTGATGGTGGTCCCGATGAAAATCCATGTTTTTCAAAAACACTTGTTGCAAGTGTTAAAAAATTTAAGAAATATAGTTTAGATGCACTTTTTAGTCTTATACATGCATAATTTTATACATTTCAATCTTAAAAAAGGAAGATTTTTGAATATATATTTTTTTTCTGAGTCCTGGTCAATTAGCTTATAATATAGTTGAACGTCGTATGGCTCCATTATCTCATGATTTGGCTGGTCTTATATTACCACATGATTATTTTGGTTCACATTTAAATGATTTAGGTGTAACAATAAATATTGATTTAGAAAAATTAAATTTTCGTAAAGCTGGACAAATCTTAGCTGAAACATGGAATCAATCTGTTATTGATGAATTTCCATGTGTTGCTGAATATATTAATCCACCAGTGACATCAGAAGATGAACGTCGACAAGTTAATATTAAAATTGTTATGGACGAAATTTTACGACAGTAAATTTTATTTTATTTTATTTTTTTATTTAATTCATTTTATTTTTTAAATAGAATTTTTGTTGAAGAAGAAGCAGAAGAAGGATATGAATTTCGTGTTCGTGCATCGGATGAATATTATCAAGAAAATGTTCGTGCACTACGAGAAAAAATTGGTGAACAACCAAAATATAATATTGATGAATATTGGTGTGCTATGCATGTTTTACAAACACAATATACATTACAAAAAATTCGTTGTAATTCAGTTGAATGTTATGGAGCATGGCGTTCAAATTATGATGAAGTATTTCCTCATCGATTTTTACCATCATCTGTACCATTTGAATGTACATCATATGGTATTAAAATGGCAGAGAGAGATTATCAAAAAGGACAATTTTATGGATCATTATTTCAACGAATTCAATTTCATGGTGTTGTCATTTAACATACACAGGTTAAAAGGAAAGCATTTTTATTCATTATTATTCATCAACAATTGAATAAAAAAACGACACGTTTGATTGACTAAAAATCAAGATATGCACGACATGGATACGTTCTTGATTCCGATCATGTCTAACGGTGTCTGATACAGAAAAGATATGTTTTACTGCTAACACGATACAAATCCGTGAGCACTAGATCTACCTGTCATCATGATATATTTTCGTCATATAGGTTAACAAAAACAAAAGGAATCATGATAGAAGTAAGATCTAACGGTTCAAGTAGAAGATGCTTAATCGATTTTACTTTTTGATTTTTTTGCATACCACCAATATTTGCTGATAAGGACATCAATCTACTCTAGTCGATTTTTTATTATAAAACGTAGCGAGCAAAGTTCCACTCATAGTTAGTCGTAATTCGAACACAGATATGGAATGAAATTTGTAGCTTTATTCTGCTTCTAATGATAACTAGAATGATTTCAATTCAATCAAGACTTCAATCGACCTAGATGAGACCTATTCATATCTCATTGAGTACCTAAGAATGACGATACAAGTGATTAGATAGGTCTAGACATGAACAAGATTGTATCTCATTTTTTTTTACAATAACAAATAATAAACATTGTTGCAATTTCGATTTTCAGCAAACATGAATGAGACTCATGCCATCAATATCTAATAATAAGAAACAAAAATAAACTTAATTGTTTGTATTTATCAACACATATTATTGACTAATCTAAATGGAAACAAAAAAGTCCTTTACCAAGTCATTAATTCCTTCTCACTGCTCACTTTATATTACTAAAAAATAACAAGATTTTTTTTCCGAATGAAATGTTACCATTTGATTATTGTTGTTCATCAGTAAAAAAAGAATTAAAAAAAAAGTACATTTAAAATATATAATCAATATATTCCATCAGCATATCGTATGAAAAATCATTATAAAATTTATGCACAACATCATGAAGATCTTGATCATAATCAAGACGATACATTAACACTACCAGCAGCAATAACTGATATAACAACAAATTCAAATGAAACTCAATCAACAGCAACAGCACCTGTGCTTAAAACAGACATGTTAGATTGGCTTCGATCAAATTTTCATGGCTGTGATTTGGGTCCAACATCAACTCAACTTGCCAATGATCGTGTTACACGTTCAATGAAAAAATTATATGTTCAAGAAAACGAAGATGAACATGACAATAAAGATTGTGTGTATGTAGAATAAAAGTATTCAACATGTTTATTATCTACACCATATTCACTTTTAATTATTATTTAAGTTTAACTTCTTGTAGTCTTATCTTTTTTTTATGATTAGCTCTTTTTGAATTTTCACATTAATTTACATGTAGCTTTGTCAGCGTTTGGGTGGTTAATATTTATGATGTTGATAATAAAACTTATTTGATTAAATTTTTAAAGTAAAAGTTTTCAATATTGTTATTATAATCATAGTTGCGATTATGTAGACTGGATGATAAAGAAATTTGATTCAGGTATATGTATACGTACAACTGAATTCGACTAACCAATAGGATTACTCTCGCCCGTTTTTGCAAGGAAAGTAAAGAAAGAAAGAACGTTTTTTTTCTTTTCGAATAGATATTTAATTAAAATATAAATTTATCTTCGAAAACCTTATAACTCGTCGATTAGAATCTATTAAATAATTAAGTATTGATCGTATTATTGATCTACAGCCGTTCAAATTTTCTCGCTATATAGTTCAACACTTCTTTTCAATCATATTTCACAAAATCTAGCTGAAATTAGAGATTATGTGTAGTTGATATACGAGCACCCATGTATGGAATCCAATTAACAATAATTTTTCATTTGCATTGATTTGAATTAATTGTTATCACCGTCAATAATGTCTTGCATATTTTTCAATTGAAAAAATCAAAGAGCAATGTTAAACTTTACAGATCAATGGATAGACGCAGTGTATTTTTCGTCAATTGATTGCTTCTTTCTACCATCAATAATTAGTTTATGGTTGGCAGAGAAAAAAATCAACCTAGGCACTGTCAGTTACCTTGACTCGATGCAGTTGAGTAAACAATAATTAGCGCAAGATGATTATTCGTAAAGTATCTGTTTACATGTTCTATTACTTTTTAGTGATATTTTTCACATTTTATCACTCATTAAATCACACACGTATTTTTCAATCATTCTCAATCATAAAAATGACCTTGCATAATGAAGATATATGTATATATAATTATTTCTCTTGTTTTCATTCAGTCATACTATTTCTGATCTATCTAAGCATATGGAGGTATTTCTGGCAATCAAAAAGTTCCTTACATTAAAAATCACTTTCATTTTCTCATTTCGACAATTTATTATTATAGATCAAAATAGATCTTTGAATCCTTTCAATTCTTGACAAACTTTCATCAAAATATGGCTCAAAACAAGTTCCGTCTATTTGTCTATTACTTGGCTATATTCACCCTGAGTTTAGGAGCATTTTATTCATTTCATCACTTAACACGTAATCAACCTGAAGATTATATGTTTATGCAAAAATGTATTCTCTGTGCCATTTCAAGTTTCTTTAATATGTTTGTATTGTACTATCATTTTACCCACGCACCACACCCGAAATTTGTTATCTTACCACGTCGTCGATTTGTAATTTATACACATATTGTTTCAGGTGTCCTAGAATTTACTAGCTGTTGGGCAGCATTTCTTACTGGTAACAAATATATTGCTACTATTGCTGCTCTATCAGCTATTTTGGGTCATGTACCTTCGGCCTATTATCAAACATCAATTGTTTTTGGTGCTAAAGCTTTGATGGTTTCTGGATATCTATTTGCTATATCACTTCATCTATTTTCTGCATTACATCTATTTATGGAACCAACATCAGTTTATTGGTTATTGAATATGTTTCTTGTTCATAATATTTATGTCTGGTGTCGTGTATTCTATTTCTTTTTTGGTTTTACTGGTTTATTTAAAGATACTTTATATACTAATGCAATATTAACATCAGGACTTATTTTATTTCCAGCTGTTCTTGGTGTTTCAGCGAATATATTATTTTTGGGTTATGTTGCAACTAGTATTCTTCTTTATTTTGCTATTGTTCAACCAAGTGAAGAAGAGTGTGTACGCTATGTAAATGAATGTACACGAGATCTTCTTGTTAATAAAATGGCTCATAATGCTTGGATAAAACAACAGGAACGATTAGCAAAATTGGCTCACAATGACCAATTGTCCGATCAACAACGAGCTAAACAAGTTTTTGATCAATTAGATGAAAACAAAAATGGAGCTCTTGATAATGAAGAAATTACTCGTTTATTAGAAGAATGGAAAGCTGCATCAAGTTTTGTCGATCGATTTTCACGTTGGTCAAAGAAACATGATATGTCATTTGAATTATTCTATAGAAATATTTGGCGTCTTGGTGAAACATCGATTGGTCATATACAAGAAGGTATAAAACGGCAAGGAATGGCAAGAGCACGTTTCGTTTTTGATTGTTTGGATACAGACAAAAGTGGACATATTGATAATCTTGAACTTCAAAAACTCTTAATTCAATGGGGTTTACCAGAAAATGAAGTCGAAGATTATCTCACTGATGATGATGATAAACAATTTTCATTTGAAGAATTCTATGAAAAACTTAAACCAATTTGGGATTTTGCCTATGAAAATATGTCTGTTCGTGATATGGGTCAAGTTGTCCAACCACCAGATCAAAAGTCACAATAGTTAGAAAGAAAAGTCAAAACAAGGAATATTTCTCTACAAAACGAAGATATCATACTCATTGAACATCTTTTATTATATCATGATTTTTATTCTCATTACTAACAAATTTTATGAATAGATACTGATTTATTCTAGCATGACATTTCTAAACTAGCAATTAAATTTTCAAAATTATTTGGTCATATCAATTCTAAATAAAATATCTTTCAAAAAAAAAATCAATCGAACTCGTCTTTTTTTGTTTTCGTATTTGGATCTTGTAGAATTGTAATTGATTTCTGATTTTGTTATGTTCATATATAAGATATTCAATGCATAGATACAACTATGAGTTATTCATTGATGAATTGGTCATTTTTATATGTCATATATGAGTGATAAATATTTAATAAGATCGTAGAAAAATAATCAAGTTTTGAGAAATCCATCGATGATTAATTGTACATTTGCTTATCACTAAATTTATTGTTTGGTTTTCTTTTTTTCTAAAGATAAAATAATCCAGTGAATGGACTTTTGATATGATATGAACATAATTATTCAAATATGAATAAATTGCTGATAATAATCCATCATGAAGTGTTATTAATTTTTTTTTTTTGATATTTTCATATGAAAAAAAATAAAAAAAACTGACAACCAAAAAGAATAAACGTAGTTTATGGAAACAAAAATGAATTATTTTATCATCAATAGATATCAGTCCCTTGATCACAAGACAGTGATCATTTGATGTTTTTTTTTTTTGTAATCAACTAATCATCTTTGCAATCTTATGATCGTTCTAGATGATTGAGTACGAGTTATTAACATTAAAAAAAAGTCACATTTTACCAGTATCTATCTTCATATGATGTACAAATACGAAGAATTTTTGTTTTTATTTTTGACTGTTAAAGGTATCTATTCATTATCACCATACGTATATTCAAATGATGGTATTTTTCATGGATGAATTCATTTAAAACATATAATATTTCATCTGGTTTTTTAATAATATTATTAGAAAAAGAATTGATAAAGAAAAAAAAGGAGTGTAGTTGAAATAAGATAATGCAAAAACAATTGGGTTTGATCAATCAATTGATATATGTTAGTTAGTCATATTTGATTTATTCTAAACTAGGAAAATATTAGGATGAAAATGAAGAAGAAATATTTTTCAGACAAAAAGAAAACTTAATTTAAAATGATAATCATATGATTAATATGAGACAAAAACAATATTCATATTTGATTTAGTTCTTTTTATTTAAATTCTTCTGTTTATTTTCATTTTCTTGTTGATCTTTTCTAAGTGCAACAAATGTCCAAGTCGCTGCCATTGCATCACCAAATGCAAGTAGAAGTAAATTCTGAGGTGAAATACCAGTTATAACCATAGAAAACATGAACAATGCAGCTAAATATCGCATAATCACGAAAAATTTAAAGCAAATCATAGCTGTTTCTCAAACCATTAGCACCAAGAATAGCAGCAAGTAAACCAGTCATACGAACAACAGTATCATTATCTGCTTTCAAACTCAATATAGTTAAGATATGATGAGGAAAAAAGCTCATGACAACGCCGCCCACAATAATTAAGTAACTACCAAATACAAGCATACTGATCTTAGTGCGACTATAAGACGGAGTAGTAATTGAAGATGACATTTTTCTTCAAATTATTCAATAGATACAAAGATAATAACTATCAATTTGAGATGAACAAATGTATATATGAAAAAAAGAAGAATATGTAAATAATTTCAATAAAATTTTCTTAGTGTGACAAAAATAATTGTCAAATCTAATCAAATGGTTTATTAGTCAGTGATATAAATAGAAAGAAAATCGACTTTTTTTTCAGCAGAGAAATTATCAATACAAATCTTAATTTTCATATGCTGAATGAGATAAGATCGATTTTTGTCAAAAAAATTTTATCATAGAATTCATTGTAAAGAAAAAACCCAACAATGTTGCATTTATCTGTTTACTTTTACTTCGTTATTTAACATAAGGCTATTTGACAATGATATGATTTAAAGGTTATCAGTAAAGATAAAAGTGAATCGTTAAATTACGCTTACCATGCTAATGAAGAACATACCGTGATAATGGCATTTTCTTTTCTAAATTGATGGGTTTTGTTTTTCTTCATTTGTATACAATTATTCCTTACACAACGAGAAAAAAAAGACGTATCCATATCGCTTCAGTGATCGATATTTTCATTAAAAACGATATGAGAAATATGATCATTACGGGAGGATGAATAAAGATGTATGTTTATTTTCTGTTCTCAATATATGACTATATGTGGATTCGCTGTTTTTGCTTTGAATAAATTTGTTCGATAGAAGTATGAAATATTAATATTAAGATATCAAATCGAATGATTTATTAATCATCAAAATCTAGCATTGCTCTGCAAAAGATAAGAGTTTGAATAATTCTAATCTCAATGATAAATCGTCTCAAAGAAAAAAGTTTATATTTGTTAATTAAAAAATTTCATTTATGAAAAAGTAAATAATACAGAAGATAATCACGACTGAAATTAACCATTCGAAATAGTTTATTTTATTATATATTAATAATTACATTCATCGTGATATAGAAACTAATCAACGTAAATCTAAACTCAAATGCTATTGTCATTATCACTATGATCATATCAGTTGATTTAATGTTTCTAAAACTTTGATATTCTAGAAGGCTTTCGATCGAGTCATGAAGACAATATTTATCAATCCTATTTCGGTTGTTTCTTGAATATATTCATTCTATTGTGTTCGACAATGATAATAGTTTTCAAAAATTTGACTTGTTTAACAGTTTGTTCAATGAATTAGAAATATTTTCTCAATTGATCGATAATTACTTTATAAACCTCAAATGTAACAATAATAGTAATAATTAATAACAATATAATGTAGTTTAATATCCAATTTTACTAGGCTTTATGTGAAATTTTCGACCATTTTACGGCCATCATCAGCACTATAAAACATCGCTTGTGATCTTACTCCCTAAAAAAGTTTTATTTCGTACAACAATGATTATAAAATGGAAAAGTATAATAAATCAATAACTGGATGGACAAAAGAGTGTAGATGTGGGTGCGTATGTGGGCCTTGTCTTTATCTCCATCCACACTCACACCCTTGTTCTAAACGAATAGATTGATGAACAAATCTTCGTTCTGTTTGAAAAGTATCATTTTATGATTGAATCAAGTATCTTGATGTTAATGATATTCAGTAAAATATTTTAGAGTAAAGTATTGTTTTGCATTCATAAAAATTAGAAAAAGATACATTATTTTGACAAATTGAATAATAGTATTCATTTTTATTATTTCGCATCGAAATATAAATTTATCTTGTTTGTTTTCTTTCGTTGATTCATGTTTATTTACAATCTTTCTGTACACTATTTTATTAATTCTTCTATTCTTTTTTCGATTTTTAAACAGAATACGAACATTTAATGTTTTAGTCATCAAAATATATGAATAAACATTATCAACATAGATATACAACAAAATCGAATATGTTATAAATCTCATCAATTATTTTTCTATTATTTCTATTCGTCTCATTCATATTATCATTAGTTATGAATGATTTTATCGTGAACAGTGTGTTTTGTTCATTTTTTGCTCGGATTTTTCTCTCATTGCGTGCATTTCTTTCTCATCTATTCGAATTAGATCCGATTATTCGATACATTTGACAAGTAAAATAGTAGCTTTCATCTCAATTACATCAAAAATCGCTTAAAAAAAAGTGAGGACAAGACATCAATATCATTTCCTAACTCTCATATTCATACTTACTCATCCCAAAACAAGACATACAGATCTATTTCGAATTATAGTCATATTTTGTCATGATATGAAAATTCAAATAGAAAGAATATTGATCGATATCAACTAACAACTAAGATAAGCAAGTTTACTCATTTATTTCCTTGAGACTTTTCTATTGATTATAATCAAGTTTGCTCTCTGTAGATACTAATAAATAGCGTAGTTTTTTTTCTTGTTTTCGCTTAAAATAGTATAAAACTGATAGTTTTATATCGTTGATTTAAATATACTGATATCAAATTTTTATTGATAATTGAATGAATAAAAGAGGCAAGAAACACAACTGAATAATATCTTCTGATTATAAATGATCATTTCTATGATTGTAAATAATGAACAAGTAAAAGAGTAAATATTCGATCAAAATAACACACTATGAAGAAAATATTGCTCAAGCAAAGCATAAAACGCGAACAGATACTTGCTTCATCGGTAAATAGCTTTCTCTCTGATTACTATTCACTTAGCTTCATTATGAGAAATATAGGAACAAACGTCTTTTCTTTTTTCGGTTAACTATTGACTATTTTGATTTTGATAGAAAACGATGATATAACATGAAAAGACATATTGGCTGTATTCATTCATCCATAAAAATTTATATCACTTATTTGATTTTATTTCTCCTCACCTGAAGGATACAGAAACAGTGTCGTTACCTTGAGAAAATGATACAGTCAAAAATATATCGAAAAATATCATGTTGAGATATGATCGATGAATTTCTTGCAATAAGAACGAAATATATGAGTATTATTAATGTCGAAAATAATGGATTGAAGAAAGAAATATCAATGATTTAGATCGAGTTCAAGTTAATGACTAACTCTAGAGAAAAATGATAAGTACTGGAAATTTATGTTCATTCATTTGTAATGCATTCATTTCATTAAATGTCTCTATTGTTTATCATCATTTTTGCCATCAGTCATATCAAAGATAGATAGACGACAATAGATGGCTGTTTTATCCACGGATATATTATTGTAAAATATACGATTTATTTTGTTTGTTTTTTCGATTTTACTGCTCATATATTACATAAGAATGACGATTATCTACGTCTTCTCTTGACATTGAACAAAGTCTATTGATAGTCACATATTTTCTTTTTCATAGATCAGTATGTTAAACCGTCATAGCGTCGTGATCTTTCTTAGTTTCCTGTTGCTTTTACTCATCTACGAAACATCGTAAGTTACGAATACTTCATGATTATTTTTCATCTTGATATAAGTTTATTGACTAAATGCTATTGGATTCGTAATCAATCGATTATTTGTTAAAAAGAAAATAAAAACAAGAGAAATTTAAGCATAGTAAAGATATTGTACATATTCTCTATATGTCAAAGATTATTTTTATAAGTGAAAATAGTAGAGACAAGAACATGTATGTATTGATTTCATATGAGAAGAAGAAAAAAAGAGAGAACTTATTCCGTTTCATTAATAAATATGCTCGAAAACAATAGGGAGAAAACTTTTGATTTGGTTTTTTGTTTTTGACAAATTTTGTTGAATATCGATTTGAACATGTCATATATACGATATAAATGAAATTTTATTTATATTTGCCTATTTAAGGTTCCATCTTATTGTTCTTACCTTATTCTTTCTTACTGCTTTACTAATTGTCTTCAAAGCTCCTACTTCGGAATTATGGCTTCTAGCTGTCATTACAAGTGAATATTCGATGATCTTTGCTGGGCTTACAAGTTTATTACTACTGACTAATTTCTATGCAGGCTCATTTAGTTTAGTTGGAACAATACTTGGTTTAATAGCCCTAGTTTTGTTTCTATTACCCATTATAAACGCTTATTTTATTGGCCAAAAATTACCATCTGATTTGGAAAAAGCTTTTCAACCAATGAAACATGTTACAATTAAAAACGATCAAAAACTTATTAATAGACCTTTTAACATCTTTAAACTCTTACAAACTATACCAAAAGTATCGTTTCGTACATTAACATATGTCACTTATGATGATGCTACTTTAACTTTGGATTTCTATGGATCAGTCGTAACAGGTAAACGACCTTGTGTGATTGTCACACATGGTGGTTCTTGGACTAGTGGTAACAATAAACAATTGCCAGAACTCAATAGTCATCTAGCACAAGCAGGCTATCATTGTGCAGCTATTAATTATCGTTTAGCTCCACGATGGAAATGTCCTGCTCCAATAGAAGATACTACTGCTGCCTTAACTTACTTACGTCAACATGCCAATGAATTGAATATTGATCAAAATAATTTTGTATTACTTGGTCGATCAGCTGGTGGACAAATAGCATTATTAACAGCTTACACACTTCAACAATCTAGTATCAAAGGTGTCATCGACTTTTATGGTCCAGCAGATATGATTTGGGGATATATGACACCAACTAATCCATTAGTGTTGAATTCACGACTAACATTAGCTAAATATGTTGGTGGTGATTATTTCGAAATGCCAGACAAATATGCAGCTAGTTCACCAATTGAATTTGTTAATCGGCAAACTGTACCTACTCTTATTTTTCATGGTCTCACTGATTCACTCGTATTCGATGAACATAGTCATCGTCTTGCTGCTAAATTACATCAAAATGATGTACCACATTATTATCTTGAATTACCATGGGCAACACATGGCTTTGATTACAATCTAAATGGTCCTGGTGGACAACTGTCAACCTATGCAATCGAATATTTTCTTAATGTCGTTACTAGTCGACAATAGACTTTTTTTCTAACAA